TTCAATTCCAGATCCTGATTCTGATACGGGCAACCACAGTCTGCTCCCTGGTGACTGGGTTCTGGTCAAGAAATTTGTGCGAAAACACACCCTGGAACCAAGATTTGACGGACCGTTCCAAGTTCTCCTGATCTCCCCTTCCTCTGTCAAATTGGCCGGAAGGCCTAACTGGATCCACGCTTCCCATTGCAAGAAGACACCTGCCCCAGAGGAAGCTAACTCTATGCAACCATGTGCCTCTGGTACATTATCTCCTTAGTTGGCCTCCTTAAAGCCCAGCAGGTGGCCATCACCAAAGATGCTAGTGGGTACACTTTCTGGTATAATTCATCATGTACCCACGTGGCTACATTCACCTTTGATTACTGTGATATTGTAGAATGCCCATTCCCTAAGTCACAGATTCAAGCCATTTATAAAGATATACCACAAGCAAAAGACCCTTACGTTTGTGTAGTAGATGAACAATGGGGTTATGACTGTAACTACTGGGGGGCTGCGGGATGGAATACTGGGCCTGCCTGGGGTTATAAACCCAAAAGTGCTTTATCTAAGATAGACAATCAGGGTAGATCCCTCCTTCAAAGAATGACTTTAAGAAAGCCTGGAGGAAGTACCCCTATGAAATTAATGTTAAATATTGAACATCCTGGCCCCGAGGATGCAGACCGAGATGTAATGGGAATGTATTGGAAGAAAGGTTCCTACAACAAATTAGGTCATTTCTACCTCAGAGATATGTACAACTCTCCAGAGTGGCAAGGGGCTGATCATATGGTCCCAAATCCGCTAAAACCACATATCCAGTCCTTTAAAGATATGATGGCCATCGCTAACCCCACTTTTGAAGATACCATGGCCGCTGAAACTGGATTCAATGACATTAATTTGTGGTTAGAGTGGATGAAATATAATGCTAATAAACATAACAAAACAGCATGTTATGTATGTGGCGGTGCCCGACCCCACCTTGGCACCGTCCCCCTAATCCTCCCTTTAGAGATAGAAGATTGCTTCTTAAGCCTTTTTGCCTAACAATATGACTTTAATAGGTCCCTCTGCATGGCATGGACGGCAGAATACCCTCTCTTAGTTGAAAATGTTAAGCCACCAGATGGAATCACAGTCTATAGAGGTAATTACACTTGTTATGCCATGTATGACGGGATTGGTAAATTCATGGGTAATTTTTCTAAAGGTTATTGCGCCACTTACAGAACTGTTCCTATACGCCTGTTGGAACACCATACCAGGTCATTGGGGGATATTTACTGGTTATGTGGGGATCTACAGTTAAGATCTAGGCTGGAAACTGAGTGGTGGGGTGAGTGTACCCTGGCCAAAGTTATCATGCCCATTCATATTATTTCTGATAATCATCATGACACATACGACCCTCCACATACATCAGCCAGAGTAAGGTGCGAAACCCCAGTAAAAGGCAGTTTTGACCCCCACATTTACATAGATGCCATTGGGGTACCTAGGGGGGTGCCTAATGAATTTAAAGCTAGAGATGAAGTAGCTGTAGGTTTTGAATCACTTTTTACCATAGTCACTGCCAACAAAAACCTTAATTGGATTAACTACATTTATTACAACCAACAGCGTTTTGTCAACTACACCAGGGATGCCCTCCAGGGCCTGGCCGAGCAATTACAGGCCACATCCCAAATGACCTTCCAGAAAAGAATGGCCTTAGACATGATTCTAGCTGAAAAGAGGGGTGTATGTAAAATACTACCTGACATCATGACTTGTTGCACTTATATCCCAGAAAACACAGGTCCAAATGGTAAAGTCACTCTGGCCATAGCTAAATTAAATAGACTCTCAGAAGAGTTAAAGAGAAACTCTGGAGTTACTGATCCCTGGGAAAAATGGTTTGGTTGGATGACTGGTTGGCAGAGAGCTTTAGTCCAGATTGGTATTGCCTTACTAATTTTTCTTTTTATTCTCGCTCTTCTCATTTGTTGTGTCCTCCCATGCCTAAGGAAATTCCTGCAGAAAACTGTAGACCAAGCAACACCAACCTTCACTCATCTGACAATCGATGATCAAGATCTCACCTCACCCTGTATTCCGCTACAAACTCTCCCTTATACTGATGAAGTGCAGAAAGTCTAGGAAGGGACAGTACAGGGACAGCGTCCGTCTTTATGGGTAGACTGCCGTACGGAGAAGTAGTGGATAAGCCACTATGGGTTACCAGCGGAGTGAAGAGTGTTCCTGAACCGTACTGACGGATGTGCTGTAGCCTGTTAGGGTCAAGAGAGGGATAGACTTGCACTTTGCATTAACACTAAGTCAGCGGTCATGGGGTTTCTGTGTCTTTGGGCTAACACATCTTCTGATACTAACAAATAAAGTTTATCTTTTAGTAACTAACATTTTAAGGGGGACTGTTGTAGAATTATAGAATTCTTGAAATTATCTAAGCTAATGCTTTGTCAGGAAGAAATGTGCTGAATAATAAAATGTGTATTTACTAAAAGAACCTTGAAGCTAACAATACTAACTACTCAAAATGGCTGCCAAAGCACCCCTCCCATCGAGTGAACACCTCGTGCTAACAAGATGGCGCCTACATCTTGTGTCCACTCCCGTGTCAAGGATGACATCACCTCTTGATAGGAGGGTACCTAACTAACCACTTAACACCTGGACCAATCAATAGTGTCTATTTGCTGTTATCTTGAATTCTTCAGTGATGTAATAATGCCTTTAAAAGGGTCTGCGCACCCATTTTCTGTCAGAAGCCATTAAACTTCTCCGAAGTTCTTTCATTAACCTGAACTTTGTGTCTCAGTGTGAATTTACTTCTGCGTGCACGCAACTTTATTATCTTTAATTTGGACAGGAACAGATAGTCATTCAAACTAATTGGTTTGCAGTAAATTATCTACAACAACCTTATCCCCATAGTTAACACATATGTATATGAGCCGTGTGAAAAATAAAATTAAAACTGTTCCCGAAAGTTATACATGATTTGTTACAATTTTGTCTTGTTTTCTATTTTACAGTATTGCAATATATGTTGGCACTTTACAAAAAATGTATTTGTAAATCTGCACATCTTTATAATACAACTGGGTGCCTCCATCTTAAAGGGACACGATAGTCACCAAAACAATGGCAGCCTAAAAAAGTCATTTGGGTGTATAAATCATGCCCCTGAAGTCTCACAGCTCAATTCTCTGCCATGACTGTGACTGACACAGCCTGCATGAACAATATGGTTTAATTTTCAATCAGATGTAAGTTACTTTTAAAATTTGTATCTCCTCCTCTGTAAATTGAACTTTAATTACATACAGGAGGTTCCTGCAGGGTGTAGCAAGCAATTAGCAGAGCAGGAGATAAGACATTCACTTTAATTTAGGCGTTAAATCACTTTTGTTTCTATCCATGAAGCCCTAGCCACATCTCCCCTGGCCGTGACACAGCCTGCATGAAAAAAATGGTTTCACTCTCAGTTCAATTGTAACTTGCTTTAAAAGTGTTTATCTCCTGCTTTCTAAATTGAACTTTAATCACACACAGGAGGCTCATGCAAGGTTTAACAAACTATTAACAGTGCAGGGGATAAGAAATGTTAAATTAAACAAAATTTGCAATAAATGTATTGTAAACATTAGGTGACTCTTTACAGGAAGTGTTTAGGAAGACTGTGTAAGTCACATGCAGGAAGGTGTGACTAGGATTGTATAAACAGAGTAATTTAACTTCTTCATGGCAGAGAATCGAGCAGTGAGACTGCAGGGGCATGAGATATACACCCAAACTGCTTCATTAAGCTACATTTGTTTTGGTGAATATAGTGTCCCTTTAACTCTCTGTCAATTGGTATAAACTCTGTCCTCGCAGTCAGCATAGAGAAAGCATACAGGATAGAGGAAAAATGAATCAGTATTTCTATGTCTCCTCCTCATGTGCAATGTTTGCCAGGGCTTTGAGTTGTAAGAACTGGAGCATCTTGTGAAAGAAATGTTAAAACAAGCCATGGGTGATTTTCGATCTTTTATTCAATGGTTTACATTCCAAAGAAGTGTTATTTTCCCCTTAGATCAAAATGTGGTGGGGAGCATATTTTATATTTTTAAAGCATATATGTGTCTACAATGACAAAGGTATATTGTATATATAAAAATCTTCAGCAGAATACATTTTATATATATATATATATATATATATATATATATATATATATCTAAGAAATGTATATGTTCTGCATCTTCCAATGCCCTTTAAGTGCCCGTGAATCAAGGAAGGGCTTTTTTAAACAAATTGCAAGGAGGAGACAATATTCTGGTCGGCTGCGTGAAAAGCTGTAATCACTTTCATGTCATTTAATAATAGCCTGTGGGATTCTTGCAATATATGTGAGTGCTCAGCGAGAATAAATGGAGCCTGGAAAGTTCTTTGGCATAAAACAGAGCATATTTAAAGACCATATGCAATGTTACGTGACATTCTTACAGCACCAGTCATAACCATTTCGCCGCCAGGCACGAGAATTATCTCCTTGACAATGGGGATTATAAATGTAATTTGTGATAATTCATTATGTAGGGGATTTCTGGATCCCCACATCTTTAGAAAAGCTTTTACTGCAATGTAATTTGTTAGCTCCTGTGAGTGGTCCGTAGCCCCGATTTATGTAACTAGCGAGTCTATACTGCAGTATGCTTAATGCCTACATTCAAAAAAACACAGTAAAAAAAAATATTGTTTTCATTGACTGTTTCTAACAATTACGTTTCTTGACTAGATTTTTCAGGCTAATCTTGTTCGTTTTCCCCTTTAGATCTTACCATTTTTAGAAAAAAAAATGTTTTTAATTTTATTTATTTTGTCTTTAATTTCAGCCTCGTTACTGCTTCCCCGCAAATTCCCCTACCACCCCTCCTCTTCTCGTCATAATTCTGATCTACAGAAAAGTCCATCCCCGTAATGTCCTCTTGGTGAACTATTATGGACTAGGATGGGTTAGCAGAGTATCCTTTGTGGGAACCATAAATATGGAGGTTAATGACAGCTGCTCAGAAAGCGAGCCATTGAGAGGCTAGAGGAGACGTCATAAAACAGAATAATAGCTGAGGATAAAGCTCCCAAATTGTGCTGGCTCAGTGAATATCAAGGATTTTCACTTTATTTCCGAAGCCACGAGATGAGGAAACCCATTCATTGCCTGTTGGATCCCTTATTGAATCGTTTCACTGTATCCAAGGTCATCCGATACATCCGAAGAACCTCCATATCAGACTGTCAGTATTTAATGTTAAGGAAACTATGTATGGAAAGTGTGCTGAATCCTCATTGAATATTTAGACCATCAGATCAAAAGCATCGGTAATGTTATTAAATAACTTGTTCCACCCAACCTGACTCTTTAATGCTCTTTGTAATAATTCAAAATCATTGTTATCTCTATCATTTTATGAAAGCTGGCCATAGGAAATGTTTTATATTTTTCATAGCTGGTGTATTTCTGGCTTCCATAACATCAACTGCATATAATTCAACATATCTTCAGCCTTTATGGTATGTCTCAGCACTACAATATGAAAATAAACTATGTTGTACAATATATTTCAAAAATATAACTGATAAATGGTTTGATATACATGTTCAAGAATAAGTAAATCCCAAAGTTGCCGTTTAACACAAATGCCAAGGGCAGCAAAAGTCTTGGAGAATTTTTGCAAAATTGCCCTCTTCATGTCAGTAAAAAATGTAGCTATATGTCGTATGGAACAAAAAGTTATCACAGTATGCAATTCACTGGGGGAGATTTATCAAAGCGTTCTGTTTTAAAAAGTGGTCTAGGGTACTAAAAACAGGGCAATCACCACTGAAACCAGCATGCACATTCCATTTGGGGACTCTGTCGCTATTACACGTTTGCGCCACTTGTTAAAACAGAACACTTTGATAAACCTTCTTACACCGCACCCTGCAACACTGTGTAGCTTTCAGTTCTGCATTTTTTGTGTTAATTATTCAGTTCCCAGTTCTGTATAATCCCAAGGAATCTACATGGATTGAGGATTAAGTGAACAATCAGTTCTGGGCACCATTTAAGAAAATTTTTGAATCCATAATAATTATCTGTACTGACCTATTGTTTTAGCTAATTTGACCTAGTACGTGAAGTAGTGTTCATCTAAGAACGTTATGGGAATCTAAAGGAACGTACAACATTAAACAAATTGATCCTACTTTCACTAGCTTTGCTTTGAAAACTAATTGAACCTTTAGGATAATAAATTCTGTTAAGCAACAAGTGGTTAACAAATTTAAACCTATTAAGTTTAGAAAAACATCGCCTGAGAGGGGATATGATAACATTATACAAATATATTCGGGGCCAATACAAACCATTGTGTGGAAATCTATTCACAAACCGGACTTTACATAGGACACGAGGCCATGCGTTTAGACTGGAAGAAAGAAGATTTCGTCTAAGGCAAAGGAAAGGTTTTTTTACTGTAAGAACAATCAGGATGTGGAATTCTCTGCCTGAAGAAGTGGTTTTATCAGAGTCCATACAGATGTTCAAACGGCTACTAGATGCATACTTGCAAGAACAGAATATTCAAGGATATAATCCTTCAATGTAGGGTAATAACTGCTTGATCCAAGGATAAATCTGACTGCCATTCTGGGGTCAAGAAGGATTTTTTTTTCCTAGCTTGTTGCAAAATTGTGCTTCAAATTGTGCTTCAAACAGCAAAAAACAAATGTGAGGTAGGCTGAACTTGATGGACGCAAGTCTCTTTTCAGCTAAGTAACTATGTAACTAAGTGACTTGTATCAGATGTTCCAGTCAATGCAACGACAAGAAGATGTAAGCTCAAACTACTGTTCCCCAAATAAACATAAATGCCACCATTATTGACTTATCTTTATGCTAGAGGTGTGTAAAGTAAGAGGTTTTTAGATTTAAAAAAAAACAAGCAAAATATGATGCTCATGAGGTTGCCATTGATTTTATAACTGCTGGTCATGATTTTGATGAAGATCAATCTATGATCAGGCCAACAATGCTAAACAAAATGTAGGAAATTTGACTTCATTGTTACATTTCCAAGAAGTAAACCGTCCAAGAAGGTCACAACCCCATCACCATTGCCACCACTGTCCCCACTAAATATTAATTGCTAGACTGAGACATTCGCTTCAGTCCGAACTGCAATTCATCCATATATGGGCCGATGGGCTAATCAGTCAAATTCCTGAACTCGTGCTGAAATGTACCTGAATCACAAACGAGCCAAACGTGCAATGGCCGAGCATGTTCATTGTGATTAATAACTCTCAATTATGTCTGAATTGCCAAAAAAAAGAGATGATTGATGTATTGATGTGAAAAAAAGATGGCTAAGGGACTATCAGTAAATGTTGATTTTATTCACAGCTGAAGTGAGAAATGACCAATAGAGGACATAAAGAGGGGGAGCAGCAAAATCTATATTTATATAAAAATATATTTAACTATTGGTTAATTTTTTTCATTTGATCTGTGAACCAAAATACAAGAATGCTCCTATTAGCATATTGCAACATATACAGCATACCTAATATTATGCTATGTCTATACTATGCAGTACATTGATTGGCCTATTTTTTGGCCCTATTTTGTATCTTTTGATTTGTTTTCAAATCCGTTTTTCAGCACCAGAATTCAGCCGAGCCAAGCCGACATATGGCCGGGATTCAGAATCCCCAAGAAAATTCTAGCTTCACGAGAAATGGTTCAGCCGAGCCGAATTTGCCATCCGGGCACAAGTCTATTAAATGCCTTTTGACTCTATTTTGTTACCTCCTGTATGTTCCCGGACAGAAGAACGTACTGTATAAATATGAGATAAAATGGTAATTTTTCAAAGCAGATGAGGCTACTTAGGTTTGGCAAATATGAAATAGTAAGTGAAGGTACCTGTCCCTAATAAGAGTTTGGAATGCAAGCCTCGGGACCTGTATTGTTTCAGCCATTGAGGAAACTATAAATTCTGGTTTGTAACAGCAGAGTCTACAGGAAAATGTCAGGTTGTCCATCCATGATATGAAGTTTAATAGAATGTGTGTAATGTAGCATGACAAAGAATTTTGAAAACACAAGTAAAACTAAAATTGAATGATGGAAGCGGAAAAAAAACTTTTTCTGAATGTATTTTTACTTTTTTTATTTGTGTATTGCTAGGCTAGGATGACACAGTATATTATACTGTGTTTTGATTATATAGTGGAGAAATAGAGGGCGTTATGGTGGGTTTTAAATTTTCTCTTGCCACAGTATTAAGTTATTTAAGCATCACTTTAGAGACCTCGGTTTTGAGCAAACTACTAACAAAAAGGTGTCTTGTGATGCATTAGCATAAACATAAAATATTGATTACATCACAGACACACTAATGTTACACAGATCATGTGCATGGTGGTATTAAAACATACATTATACTTTAGTGTAGATCTATAAAGTATATTTTCACTGCCTTATTTTCATTGTTACTGTAACCTAAGGGAGCAACATGAATGCATACGTTAGATGGCAAAGAACTATAGCTTGGTTTCAAATGACTAATTTATTTACTTTAGATAAGTTGTCTCAGAAGAACTATGATAACATTTTAAAGGCAGCAAAACAACTTTAGCTTAATGAAGCAGTTTTGGTGTATAGTTCATGCCCCTGCAGTCTCATTGCTCGATTCACTGCCATTTAGGAGTTAAATCACTTTTGTTTATGCAGCCCTGGTCACACCTCCCTGCATGTGACTCATACAGCCTTCCTAAACACTTCCTTTAGAGAGACATCTAATGTTACACTTCCTTTATTGCACATTTTGTTTAATTTAGAATTTCTTATCTCCTGCTCTGCTAATAGCTTGTTAGACCTTGCCTCCTGTGTGTGAATAGATTCAAGTTACAAGAGCAAGAGATACACACATCTAAAGCAAGTTAACATCTGGTTGAAAATGAAACCATTTTTTTCATACAGGCTAATTCAGTCACAGCCAGGGGAGGTGTAGCTAGGGCTGCATAAACAGAAACAAACGTGATTTAACTCCTAAATGGCACAGAATTGAGCAGGGACTCTAGGAACATGCTCTATACAACAAAACTGCTTAATTAAGCTAACGCTGTTTTGATGCCTATAGTGTCCCTTCAAATATATATATACAGTTTAGTTGAGCAGGACTGCCCTCTGTAATGGATTAATTATGAACAGATTTGTACACAGAATAAATGGGCATCACCCTAGCCATATGAGAGCAAGTGAGGGTTCAACTCAAGTGTACAGTTTATCCACTACACGTCATATCCATTGCAGTGCTGGCAGTTAAGCCTGAGAAGAATGGACCTCATAATAAATAGCAGGCTTTCAGAGCACCCGGTTCAGAAATAGTTTAAACCCATAAGGTAAGATGACACCAAACGTAATAACAACTACATTGAGTTGAAGCTGTTATGGTGCACAGAGTTTCCCTTTAAAAATGTTTTTAAATTATTAACCACCCTGAGCTTGTCTTTCTGTCCCTGTGTTTAAGCTTTGGTGTTGTACTTCTGGGATGCCGCAGAGAAGTCTCAAATTACTAACATTGTGAGTGTTATCAGACGTGCTTACTCAGCACAAAGCACACTCAGGGCATTGAACATATAGAAGAGTATCTAAACAGTGCCTGAGCAGCCTTGAAGTGGAGCTGATCAATGCTCCTGTCAGGCTGATACATGTTTTTGGTCAGACAGTCTTTACTTTTCTGGGCATACCACCCCTCAACAAATCTCCAATATGCCCCTTTGTGTCTCACCTACCACTCTGTCCCTTATTCATGCCTCCCAATATTGCTATTGCACTTTATTCCCTCATACTTAGTGTGCGTACCTACATGCTCACCTTCTCTGGCTATTTAAAAGCAGCCGTATGCATTTGCATATAAAGGGTCTTGCAATTACAGTTCCTCCGCAGTCATGCAGAGGGGCACAATCTAGCCTTTGCAGAGAAACATATTTTGTTGTAATGGGAAACCCACTGCTATAAGGACGAGAAGTGTGACTTTATGGGCTAGATTTTTAACTCATTAACACACAATGTTGGGAATGGAAAAAGAGGGGGGGGAGGATTTGTGAGATCAAAGTCAACTATATGTCACAGCATTTCTGAAAAATCATTTAAAGGTGCATACTCACATCTTTTGAAAATTATTATTACATAGTTACATAGCTGAAAAGAGACTTGCGTCCATCAAGTTCAGCCTTCCTCACATTTGTTTTTTTGCTGTTGATCCAAAAGAAGGCAAAAAAAACCCAGTTTGAAGCACTTCCAATTTTGCAACAAGCTAGGAAACAAAATTCCTTCTTGACGCCAGAATGGCAGTCATA